TGTCAATTAATAAAATTTAATTTCACAAGTAATTCTTCAGACCTTTCGGTTATTTTTTTTAGTTGTTTTTAGTGATATAAACCAAAAATGCAAACTCGCGCTTAGTTATTGAATATATGCACTCTTTGAGTATGTAAGTATGGACTGCTGATCCCCCAACTTTTACTTTTTGACAAAAAGACATATGCCGGCAGGAATCGGGCTGAAATTGATTGAGGTATCGAACTTTGATTTTTTAACCTCCACCCCAGTTTGTTAAAAAAATATCAAATATATCAAAATGGATATATAAATTTTATAAAAATTGATAAGAAGCCAGAAAAAATCTTAAATCAACGGAGAGGAATTAAAAACCAATTCAGCATCTTAATTTCTTTTAAACATCGTAAACACGCTGATTTTACAGAAGCCTCCCCACTCCTTGCAGAAAATTACTGACTGGGGTGGAGTCTACATTTTTCCAGCTTGACAACACATGAAGTTAATTACTAGCAGTCCATACTTATACAGTCAATTGTCAAAGTGTGCACTATAATCTGAGTGAGTTATCATTTTACGTCATTTGAATTACTGACAATGAAAGCTATAAAAAACAAAATCATTCGCAACGTCTAAAGAATTATTGTGAAATTAAATTTTATTGATTAACAATTATAAATTGCGTACTGATTATTACGCTAATTCTCATTTTCCTGCTTTACTTTCTGTGTTTTTTTAAATATAAACAAAACTATTTCAAAAATCATATATCAGGAACTGTGGAACTATTGTGAATGTAAATAAAGTATTGATAACATTTTTTAAAGTAAGGTGTCACTTTCACAGACACATGGACAAATATAAACTTTTTCTCTTAGGTGAAAAGGATTAAAAAAATAAAAACTTTCCACATTATTACTTATTTATCGACATTAAAATTTTTATTCTACAGAACTACAATGTTTAGTTATATGGTAGTTATTCAAGTAGTTTTAAAGTACAATCTATTGTCAATAAAAGAAAAACCTTTAACGTTTATGAACTAATAGCGTATATGAGATATAAGAAATTCTTTCGTTATCTCTATAATTGTGAAATTAATTAATTATTCGTCATCTTTAAATTAATTAATTATTTATTTGACATTACGCGATAGGCGCATTCGAAAAGAATGTTCATCGCCCCCACAAAATGGCTACTCGTTCAGGATCGAAGAATAACGATTGATAACA